CAAAAAAGTACTTTTTCGAGGTTCAAGGGGCACATGTTCTTCAGTTCATCAAGGTTCTTCATGTTGAGTATTGTTGGACAAACCGTTCAGGTGTGAGTGGGGCCTTCTTTGCCTGGTCAGATAATTGGGGGTTATTTTACACCTCCCTCACCTTTGTATAATACTACCCCATACATGATGACACCTTGCTACCACAACCTACGCAGCTATATAATGCCTAGCTCTTTAAAGCTCGCTCACGCCTGCTCTCTGTGCACAAGCACGCGCCTACAACAAAGCCACTCGCGGGGACGCGCACAGGCAAGTTCCTAAGCGCTCCCGACAGCTGCGGCAAACCTGACCGGTCCCGTCACGAAAAGACACACCCTCGTGACTCACATATGTCTCCCCTTCAGAGAGCTGCGCCGAAATGTTCCACACGAACACCACTTTATTGCTCTCTTTGGGGACGGTGAAGCTCACAACCTCAGGCTCCATCCCGCTGCAACTCGAAGGCGCCGCCACACGCTGTCACGCCCACTTTGCCACTTCAGCCAGTGAAAGCGCGCCTGGTCGAGTCATATGACACCCTCACGCGCAGCGCAAGTCGAGTTTGGCTGTCTTGTCGCGTACAGGTAAGAGCGCTGCAGTGTGCGGGGCGGGGTCATGGTAGAAGAGCGGAGCGTCTTCGAGGGTCTCTCATGGACGGGGGCTGCCATAATAAACGCTTATTTTGAGAATGTTCGTTAACTGGCGGTGTTTTTGAGGCTTTGGTGCTGTTTGAGCTGCTGACATGAAATTTTTATAGGAATAAGGAAATCTGACACCGTCTTAGCATCTTGCCATTGGCTGGAGCTCGATCTTTAAATGGATCATTGTGATTGGATGATAAAGTGGTCAAGCAAAACAAACGACAAACGCACTCAACAATTTGTCACCAGTTATACAGTAAGGTGCACACGAAATGGGCTTTGAACAGTAAAACAGTAGAAAGCCATCATGGCACACTCACAAACAAGCATGTAAAACAACATGTCTCACCACTAAGGATAATAACGGAGGTTTGGATACAAGTCTTCTGCAGAGGATGTGAAAGCCGCACTGCCGCGCCACCTTACTGTAATGATAAAGTGGTCACATGATTGGCCTATCAGGAGCCAGCTCCCAGCGCAGAAGAGCTTTGCTAGTTGTTTACATGCATGTGGCAGCTTGACGTTAAAGCCCACCACCATGCTGCCACATACTGTATATAGCAGCCAGCAGGAAGGGGCTAAGTTGTATTATTTCAGGTCTGTGCTGAAGACACAGTCAGGCCACTAGCATTTTCAAAAGGTGGCCAGATGTAGCAGCCCACTAATAGTGGAGCTTAACACCCCTCCCCTGCTGCATGCACAACATGTAGTGCACTGCCTTCTGAAGAAGAGAGGGCGATGGATAGTCACAATGACGTTCTCTGCTGATATTGGAGCAAATATGTACTATTGGCAGTAAAACTACACAGGGCAATGGTAAAAGCAACATAACTAATGCCCAAACAGGACCCCAGACCAGGGCAACAAGGGTGGAGCGTAGGTATGATATATCTGTAATGATAGACTATCGGTATGATAGTCTATCATTAGAAGTACATAATGAGATACCATAATGGTCTACTGATGCAGATATTTGTTCTCTCCTAGCCCCGATGAAGGGGGCAGTGGCGTCACAAAGGGGGGTGCGGGCCGCACCCGGGGTCACGGACCGAGAGCCAGACAGTGTCAGAAGAGAGGAGGGGACCTGGTGGCATACCTTATTCCACCAGGTGAACGTCCCCCCTCCTCTCTGCTGGCGCCCATGACCAAGATTGCTGCCGGCAGGAATCAAAAAGGTAGTCACGCGCATGCACGATGACATCACGGTGGGGTGTCACCCGGGCTCTGCCCCCAGGGTGACACAAAGCCTCGGGACGCCCCCTGGAAGTGGGGGTATATGTATGAGCCCCCAAAATGCATTGGCTATTTCTATACTGTCACCTCAACCCTACCTTCAATAAAGATGTATCTGGATTATTAAACGGAGTGTCGCTTCAACTCACAATCTGGCGATTTGACACATGGGGAGAGTGGAAGTCTTCAGGGAGGACTAATCATATATTATTATTATTATTATACAGGATTTATATAGCGCCAACAGTTGCGCAGCACTTTACAATATAAGGAAGACATTACAATCACAATACAAGACAAGATGGTAAGGAGGGCCCTGCCCCTGAGGGCTTACTATCTATCTATATACATCATTTTATGTATTTATTTAAAAGGAAGGTGCCATTGTACTTATTCTTCCAATACATGGAACATTCTAAATGAAAGGAAAACAAACAATGAATAGAACACGAAAAAAAGCAAACACCAATTGTTTCAGTACAGAACTTTATTTAATATAGAGCATTTCAGACAAATTACAACATGGTTAGAAAACAAAACAAAAAAAAAAGAAAGAAAGAAAAGTAACTCAATATTAGGTCCAATTGTACATCACGTATTTCACTTTCATATGCGTTTTATACAAGAAAAGAAAACATTTTTTTTGCTTTAAAGCTCCGATGCTTCTTGATGCATGAAGATATGAAAACTGCCTCATGTACAGGCTCAAGTATATATATTTTTTTAATTTATAAAGAGCTACATCCCCCGTTACCCAGTGAAGACAGTTCTAGAGATTCGAAATATGGTTTAAAATAATAAAAACCCCGGTTCAAAACAGTGATAACCACACTGCCGCAGTGCACTGCAAAAGCAAAACATATGTCAAAAGTTGACTGGCTCCCTGCAACTAAATGAAGGTCTCTGTGGGATACTAAAGGTTAGAATTTGAGAATCATTCTATAGATGAAGGTCTGGGTCAGATGGGTCCTTCTAGTTTTCCAAGGGCCACACTGTTCTAAAATCAAGCTAGGCTCTGATCATGATTTGCCATGCAGGGCACAGCAACAGGTCCACTTTAATTACCCCCTCACCAGCAGGACATACTTGCCTTTTGCTGCTCCGTTGGCCAATCACAACGCACCAGTGCAGTCAGGAAACGGAGCTCTGTGTAAGCTTCGACACCCTGTAGCAGAGTTTACACAGGGCTGGGGATTGTTTGTCCTCCCCAAGTGAAAGTGCTTGGCCAATCACAATGCACCAGTGCAGTCACATGAAAGGGAAGTGAGGAAAATGCTCCTCCATACCCAGACGTATCAGGTATTTTCATTGCACCAGGTGGAATACTGGGAGAGCCCTGTGTAAGCTCCGAGTCCTTCTCGTCAGAGCTTACAGAGGGCTGGGAACTATCTACCCACCCCCATGTGACAGTGCCTGGCCACACGCCACACACCAGTGCAGTCACATAAACAAGAGGGCCTTGAGGCAAATGCTCCTCCATGCCCAGATGTATCTGGCATTTTCTTTGCACGCAGAGGAGTTGCAATGAAAGGCGAGTAGGTGCTGCTGTGGATGTCACCATTAAAGAAAATCCATTGGTCTTCCTTGATTGGGCAAAGTAAAGGTTTGCTTTAAGGAATGCATACTAGCCGCGAATATTACCATGCGCCATGCCTCACGCAAGGGAGCGGTTGTCCTTTTAAATGATCTGTCTGTATACAAAATCACAGGTTATGACTGCGTCATCTTATTCTGCTCTCCTCATACTTTCATGGTCAACTGGACTAGATGGAGATCTCCACTTCTTAGCTATGGTGGACACAATGGTCTAAACCACAGCCAATAAGAACATTATGCCCCGGGCCAGTGATGTCACACGCCCTTTATTAATAGATCACAACCTACTCTACCACAAGAGTTTCTGTATGTCAAAAAGGCACCATAGGAAAGACCAAGAAGGAGCAGAGTTTCACACAATAGTAAGCCCTGGCCTAAAACTCCACATAAACAAGCAAATACAAAATACATTTATTAGATTACCTTCCCCCATACAGAAGTCAGAAAGGGACCAACAGAACCGATTTCAGAACCCTGCGCCTTTTTAAAATGTTAGGTCCTGAGGGAGGAACTCATTTACCAACTCCTGTGCCACACACTAGATCCAGGTTAAGCATACCTGTCCAGGGAACTAGCATGTGGCACAAAGTCAGGGATAGCTGCTTCCACCATGGCCTAACCATGCAGGTGCTTGCTTCCCGACAGGTCCCATTAGGTCCTGAGGGAGGAACTCATTTACCAACTCCTGTGCCACACACTAGATCCAGGTTAAGCATACCTGTCCAGGGAACTAGCATGTGGCACAAAGTCAGGGATAGCTGCTTCCACCATGGCCTAACCATGCAGGTGCTTGCTTCCCGACAGGTCCCATTAAAGAAAACACACAAAGCACCCATCTACCTTTACATGCTGGTGTTCAGACCTTACTAAACAGGGTACATGGAGCTGCATCAAGATAGGAATTTATTAACCCTTTACAACAGGGGTAGACAACCTCTACACTCCAGCTGCTGCGAAACTACAACCCCATGAGGCATTGCAAGATGGTCTACCCCGGCTATACAACCCGCACATAATTCGATTACACCCCCTTCACGCGTTTAGGAACTCAAATCACTATTTCCCTGATTAAATAGATTTAATTTTTTTTAAACAAAGCCATTTTTATTTTTTTAATACTTCAGTGAACTGTCAAAGATTTACAAAATTATATATTTCATGAATCCGCCTACATTCGTAATACATCCCAGACTATGCAGTGTTCAATGTCACCGAGACCGGCGCACCGGTCCACAAGCACAGCCAACGGCCTTGGCCCAGGCCACGCATTTTGCCAGTTTGAACCGAATTACCTGCAGGGTCTGCAAACTAGACAGCCTTCAGTAAGAAGTGTTCCCTTTCACCTGTACACCCCTCCCCACCCACTGCTTCTTCATTACATGACCAAGCATCGGACCCCCCCAATGAGACAGATGAAAGGGGGGCCGGGGACCGCAACACAGATGAGTTGGGTTTTATTTGTGGTTGAAGTTAGTAAATAAAATATGCATGGTTACAGAACAGACTTCCTCCCAACTATGAAATAAGCTAGAGCAAAATTAAGATATGATTCCGAGTGGGAGCAGACATCTCAGGAGCCTCTGTATGCCAGGCTGGTGATGCCACATGCATTCATGTGGTAGAGGGGCACGTTCTAGTCAGAGATCTGCCATTAAATGAAAATTGTAATGGCTGCAACAGGAGTGCCTGTAAATGCAGAGCTGGAAACAGGTTGAGGTATTCAACAACAACAAAAAAGGATACGAAACCGCAGTGCATGCCGTCTCACGAAGAACTGTTTATAGGTTAGTGTATGACTTTCCAGTTCAGCATCCCCTCGGTGTGTCACATGACTCCAGTGTGGCTTTTTACAGTTCACATAGACGTTATACAGCCGACCTGTTATCACTAGCCCTGTTCAGATGGTGACCACATATTAAAGCTTCAGTCTAAACTAGTCTTAAATTGAGTTGTGTTGTGCTTTATGTACTTCTCTAAATCCGTGCAGCATTCCCAGTATG